ATTCAATTTTGAGGAATTTTTCAAAAATTTTTACTCAGTCCTTACTCAGGGTACAGTGAAAACGAGGCAATGTCAAAAAACCATGAGGAAGGTTATCGCTATGAAAGGCAACAATAAATTTTTTAGGATTAGAATAGCTGAAGTGATCCAATATATTTATTCCTAAAAAACTTATTCATTTCAAACAGAAAAAAGAATGTGTATCACTTTTAGAGCTAAGGCTTTGTCTAAATAAATATGTGTACAAATTTTATTCGTATGAAAATGTTTATATTTTTTGTTTCATTATTACTTAACAAAGGCTAAAAAAAAAAAACAAATTTTTTAATGGAAATATTTATTTAGGTAAATTAACGAGGCTCAATTATGCGATTGAAAAGGATTGGTGAGCAAAAAGAGAAAAACCTGTTATGCATACAGACCAGTTGAATGGGCAACCAGTTCAATTGTTTCAAAGAAACGTGCGTTTAAGCTACACAGCAGAATAGTCTTTCCTGCTTTTTAACGGTATGTACTTTTTTAGAATGAATTTATAGATTAACCATAAATTTTTGTGGAACAAATTATTCAAATATAGAAAATATAGGAAAAGTAAACGCTAAATTTTTATTTTCTTCGGTTTTTAATAACCTTTAGGCAGTGTGTAATAATTAATAACCTGGAACCATGCTAGCGATGCAACTAATCTAACAGTTATTTTAGAAGGAGAATTTGATGTTGTAAGAGGCTACAGCTGTGTCGTTCCTCATTCTGATCATTTATACTAACAATCTTGAAACAATTTAATCTATCATATTCAGTGAACTGAAAAAAATTACGATAACGAAAACGCTAACATCTAAACAACGTTTTTGTCTTGGTTTTTGGTGAAAAAAATTGAGAGCTAAAACGTTTTAAATAGAAGAAATCTTAGACTATGTGTCTTTACCAAATAAAAAAATTTTTTTTCAAATATGAGAGACAACAAAAAAAAAAAGAAAAAAGAAAAACGAAAAAATTAAAAGAATAAAAAAAAGAAAATATTTGCTCTTGAATTGTCAGTATTATTTCGATCACTGCAGTCAAAATCAACATTTTTATACAAATTCTATTTTTTTTTTTTTTTGATGACTCTTTTTTTTTTTT